GACGAAGAAAACCGCTGCACCGCCCGCAGAAGCCGCCGCCCTAGCGCCCTGTCCAGTTCGTCGTCACCATCGCCAGCAAACGAAGGTCGTACGTCCACATGCCTGTGCTTGCGTAGGAAGTCAGCACCTGTACGGCCGTGATGCGGTGTCCGCCTTTCTCTCTGCATGCGCACGTGAGCGCGAACCTGCCTGAGCACACGTTTTGTCGTGGGCACACGTGTCGGCAGCCGTGTCGCCTTGCCACGGCGGTTCTCAACAGAAAGCGTCTTAAGGCCCTGCAGACACGAAGCACATGGAATATGAGCCAACAGGAACAGATCTAAGACAAACAGCACGCTGGTGTATGAGTTGACCACAGCAGGTACATCTCCTCAACTCACATCTATGCCGTGCTCTCGCAACAGCTTGTTGAGCATTGCATACTTCCGACGCACGGTGCTGAGGCCAACCCTGTGTTGCTCCAGACCGAGGTAAAAGAGTGAAGTGAGGTCGGCCATGCGAATGAATCATGTCACAGTTGACACATGCAGACACGTCAGCTTGCACACTAACAAAAGAGTGTCAACATACCCCAACTGCTGAGCAGCATGTTCATCGACCTGGCCATTCGGCTTCGAGCGCTTGCCCTTGGACTTCCTCCGGTTCTCCAAGTGTGCCAATTTCAACTGCATGTACACATGCAAAACCAGAAGCGTTTCCCTTTCTCTGTCAGGGTTCCCTGACCCCTCATGTCCCTCAGGCACGCACATATCTCCATGATCTCCTGAGGAGTCAGGTGCTTCTTGGTTACCGGCTTGGGCATGTCTTGTCGTGCCCGCTTTGGTGAGTTGGTGGCAGCTCGCCTTCATCCTTTCATCGTCATCGCTTACCACCTCGAAATTAGAGGCACAAAAACATCATCGCCCATCGTGGATGATGGTGGTTGAAATTTCCTTTATTTTGCCGACGATTTGCACGAAAGATGCAACTTGACAGCGGTTGCTTGGGGCGTGTGCGTCACCCTTGCACCCCAAACCAGCGCAGATGCATGTGCAAGGCCGGCGTGGTGCTGCCGGGCAGCCTGCACACGACTCAAATCCAACCACAAACGAGAAAAATAAAACCCTACCATTTCGTGTGTCACGAGCGGTGATGACGCTCGCGACGTTGGCGCAGGCTGCGAGTGTCGCGTACGCGCTTCCGGTCAGTGCGTGTTGGTCTGTATGTGTATGTGTCTGTCTGCCTGTCTATCTCTGTCTATCTCTGCCTTCACCTGTGAACCTCTGACCTGCCTCGATCATCATCCTCCTCCTGAATGGTCCTCACACAAATACATTGTCTGGGGTAGGGCGTCTTGGTGCCACTCATCTTCGGTGGAGTCGGCGCAGGCACCGTGCATCGCAAAGCCGTTCTTGCAGCTCACTGCGGCCCAGAGGTGTGTGTGTGTGTGTGTGTGTGTGTGTGTGTGTGTGTGTGTGTGTGTGTGTGTGTGTGTGTGTGTGTGTGTGTGTGTGTGTATGTCTGTGTCTGTGTGTGTCTGTGTGTCTGTGTGTGTCTGTGTCTGTGTCTGTGTCTGTGTCTGTGTGTCTGTCTCTGTGTGTGTGTCTGTGTCTGTGTCTGTGTCTGTGTCTGTGTCTGTGTCTGTGTGTGTGTGTCGTGTGTGTGTGTGTGTGTGTGTGTGTGTGTGTGTGTGTGTGTGTCCTCCTGCGTCTGCCTGCCTGCGTGTGTTATGTTGTCTCGTCGTTCTGCATCACACACACTCACATACAGTACACACACGCACGCACACACACAATGCACAGCCTCTTGAAGAGCATGCGCGCAAGACCGTCGACGCCTTCGCAGAGAACAACAACGAAGTGCAGCTGGTGAACAGCGTGAAGCTGGCGCTGCGGTTGCTGTTTCAAATCATGTTCATGACGGCGCTTGTGTTTGTGCTGTCGGCCGTGTGCGGACAAAACAGCACCGTGAACGTGCTGCGCTCCTTTGATGAGGCCGCGCTGGACGACGCAATGGCCCGCGTGTGCCCAAGCGATTTCACTTTCACCCTCACCGCTGAGGGCCCCTTTCGCTTCAACCAACACGTGCCCTACCGCGTTACCACCAAGCAGGCGTGGGACTTGCTTCCAGAGGCTGTGCAGCGCGCAATATCATCACCGCCTCCATCACCAGCGACCAGGGCTGGCACTGGTGCGGGTACGAGCACAGCTTCAACCTCCACCGCACCGCCAACACCACCAGCACCAAGTGGCGGCCGTGCACCCAGGCTCACATGGTTCCAGTGGCTTCGGCACGTGTTGTTGTCACGCCCCATTGACCAGCTGCTTCCAAGCGACGACGCTAACACCGCGTTTCAGAGGGACGGCAGCACTTCCAACACGAGTGGTGACAACGGCGACGACGACGGCGACACGTGCTTGCTCGCCATCTACAGGACGGAGCATCAGCGCAAGCAGTACGAGGGCGTGCGCAGCCCGTTCACCACCACGTGCACCATCGCCGTCGTGCTTGCCGACCGACACGTGTACTACGACGACTGGGAGGACGTTGTGTTTGATATCCCGCCACTGGAAGTGGATGGCTTCGATGAGCCCATGGATATCCCCTTTGACTGCCGCCTTCTCACCGCCATTGTCAATGAATACGTGCGTCCGTTTGCCGCCAAGCGCTCCGTCCGCCTCACTGTCGCCGGCGGCATCCTGGGCGTCACCGCGGCGCTCTCTGCACTGCACACGCTGCTCATGCTGCTGATTGTGGCGAGCGTGGGCCGCGCCGTCGTTGCCGGTGTCATTGGTGCGCCGCACGTGCCCGTGCTCGACTGGATGCAGCTGTGCCTCTACTCGGGCCTGTTTGTGCCGGCACTTCTCGATGCGCCTTGGCTGTATGGGCAGCTGCTCGTGTACTGGGTGATGACACACATGCCGGCCGGGCGTGTCACCACCCACCTGCACTACCTGGTGCGCCCCATGCTCATCCTCCTCTACACGGAGCTGCAAACCGTTGACATGCCGATGAAGAGTGCCGTCGACTTTGGGCTGAGGGGTGTGATGGCAGTTGCGTTTGCCGCGTTTGCGCTGCGGAATCACCATCGCGCCGCGGCCGAGAGAGATCGCGTCCAGGCCGGAGCACAACAACAACAACAACAACAACAACAACAACAACAACAACAACAACAACAACAACAACAACAACAACAACAACAACAACAGCAGCAGCAGCAGCAACAACAACAACAACAATAGCGATGCTTGCATGTGCGCGCGCGTGTGCTTGACAGAACACGACACAAGTTACACCAAGAGTCGTGATTTGATGGATTCACATCACAATGAATAAAGATTGTGTATGTGTCACACGCGTCACATCAAATCATTGCACTCCTTGCTGTGCTGTGCTGCGTTTGAGAGTGAAACAGAAGACTTTAATGAGACGGCAACGTATATCCTGTTGTGTCAACTGCTTGGGAGCATGAAGCATGTGGTGTGTAAAACACGTCGAGTAACAGAACCAAAGAGGGAAAAACCAACGTCATGAGGAGGAAGAAAGCGAATAAGAGAGTGTGTTTGTGTGTGTGTCTGTGTCTGTGTCTGTGTGTGTGTGTCTGTGTCTGTGTCTGTGTGTGTGTGTCTGTGTCTGTGTGTGCGTGTGTGTCTGTGTGTCTGTGTGTGTCTGTGTATGTGTCTGTGTCTGTGTGTCTGTGTGTCTGTGTTTGCACGTGGGCATCATGCCCGCATGCCTCTATCGCCTGATGGGCCGGGTTGCGCCAACAGCACCGCGACCGCCGCCGCGTGGACGCCGTGCGCTCCGAGTACAAATTGGGCAGAAATTCAGCTCAATCGGCTGCAGTGCACAAGTGTACGTGAGCACATGTGTGTGTGCGTGAGAGGGGACAGACAGAGAGACAGACAGACAGACAGAGAAGGAGAGAGAGAGAAAGATCTACACGCGCACGCACACACACACACACATCCATCCACATACACAGGCGTCCGTTTAGTGGCAAGTGACATACTCAATGTGTCAGTTCCGTACCTGCTGCGGAGCGTTGGAATGCATGGAGCGAGACCGCTGGCGACCGGCAACAAACTCTGAAGTCCACAACACAACAGCAACGGCGTAAGATGAGTATGTGTGTGTGTGTGTGTGTTTGCGCGCGCGAAGAGAGAGTGAGAGTGAGAGCGCGCATCAGAAGCCATGATTCAGGGTGCACGTTACCTTGCAAACATGTGCGGCAGAACATGTGTTTGCATCGGAATAGCAGGGCTTCGTCTCTGGTCCCGCCTGCGGTTGTCATGGTTGACAAGGCAAGATTCAAAGAAAAGGGGCATGAACAAATGGGCAACAACAATCATCAACACTCCTCACATGCATGCAACAAGAGGCAAACCAGGCATTGATGACGCACTGAATGAGGCGAGGGCTCTGCTACAGTTGTGGCAGTGCGCCTTTGCTGGCTCTGTAACAATGGCGCGTTTGCGCAGCCTTCAGCGTTCATATGGTGTGTGTGTGTGTTTGTGTGTGTGTGTGTGTGTTGTGTGTGTGTGTGTGTGTGTGTGTGTGTGTGTGTGTGTGTGTGTGTGTGTGTGTGTGTGTGTGTGTGTGTGTATGTGTGTGTGTGTGTGTGTGTCAGCGAAGGGTATCCCTCAACAAGGAAGGCCACAACCAGCAGTGCACGTGTGCAAGTGACGCAACCAAAAAAACAAAAAAAAAAAAAAAAGGCTTCGCCAGTACCAACCTGTGGAGTTTCATGGTGAGGTCCACACAGTCGTTCATCATGATGGCTGTCGAGCCCTTGAGCAGATCAATCTACCAAAACAAGAAGGACAACACGGTTGAGAATGTGTATGTGGGAAAGCAGCTGTGACACGGGCGTGCAGCAATGCATGGCGAATCCACACATACATGAACATGCACGCACGCGCACATATGCACATACACGCACATACACGCACACATGCACACATCTACACACGCATGCGCACGCTTCCCCCAACCTGGAGGTTAAAGTCTGAGAGGATCTTGACGAGCGAATCCCTGAGCCCGTCGATGACGCGGCCACGAAGATCCGGGCGCTGCAGGACACAGCGGTGATGGTGGTGATGGCGGTAATTGCGTGAGCGGTCAGCAGTATGTGATAATCAATGCACACGCTTCCACGCGTGCAAGCACGTCTGCACAAAGATCCCTTGCACGCATGCACATGCACGACGCACCTGGATGATCTTGAGCGGGTTGATGTAGGAGCCCGAGTTGGCGAGGAGAAGGCGGATGTGCTCCGGGTTTTCGCTGGCAAAGCACTGGTCAATCAAATCATCCCACAGCGTCTCGTCGTTTTCCTGCGCCACCAACTCAATCGCCTGCACCACCACAATGCAGCGTGAGGTGTGTGTGTGTGTGTGTGTGTGTGTGTGTGTGTGTGTGTGTGTGTGTGTGTGTGTGTGTGTGTGTGTGTGTGTGTGTGTGTGTGTGTGTGTGTGTGTGTGTGTGTGTGTGTGCGTCGACGCTTGGGGGGTGCGCTCAGCATGCCATTCAGATGCAATGACAAAACAACAAACACATGGTTGTGGGCGAGGGGTGCGTGATGGCTAAGCAGCCAGGCAACGCACCTCTTCCACGAGGCCAAGCTGTGTGATCATCAGCACCATTGCCTCCTTGACTTTCCCGCCGCGCTCTGCACACACACACACACACACACACACACACACAAGCAGTCAAGACACCACAGCACAGCAAGCACGGCCACAGTGAGGCGGAGGGGTAGAAAAACACAGAAACACGCTCGGTGCAATTGTACTGCTGCACAACCACGACCATAACAGCAACAACTCATACCACACAACCACACAACCACACAACCACACAACCACACAACCACACAACCACAGGAGTGCGGGTGCTAGGTGTCGCCACGTACGGAGGCAGTACGCGTATTCACGCCACAGCTTCTTCTCCTGGCAGATTTTGAGCGCCTCGCGGTAGGGGATGGCGTGGTTGGTCTGCAGCAGCCGCAGCAGCTTGTGCCGTGCGTGATCCGCAGTGAGGAGGACAAGGCGGTGCCCAAACTTGCGCGCAACCGCCTCGTCTTTCATCGCCATTGCCTCCAAGTACTGCAGCTGCAGCCTGCATCGTGTGCAAGCAAAGCCCGGGTGCCGGTGAACAGAGAGCCGAAGCAGCAAGAGCAGCAAGCACGTGGCAGTGCGACATACAACAACAACAGCAGCAACAGCGGCGGCGGCGGCGGCAGTGGTAGCAGCAGGCATGCGGCAGGCATGCGGCAGGAGGAATTGGTGCCAATTGTGCACTTACACGGGCTCATGTTCGAGCTGGGGCAGCACGCTGGAGACGGGCATCTGGTCGACATTCTCTGTGAGGAGCGCGATGGCGCGCTCTTGGTCAAGGCGGATCATGTCAACCACACGGTCCTGTGTGTGGCATGTTGGCGAGATGGAAGGGCACGGTGAGCAGGCGTGTGGACAATGCTGGACACACACGGCGAAACCTGGAAGCCTAACACGCACACAACCAAACACACGCACGCACACACAAGCAAACACGCATACACAACCAAACACACAAACACACAACAAAACACACACACACAACCAAACACACGCACACACAACCAAACACACGCACACGCACACACAAACAAACACACACACACACACTCTCTCTCTCTCTCTCTCTCGTACACACACACGCACACACTCTCCACAACTCACCTTGACGTGCTGGAAGAGGAGGGGCTTCTGGTTGAGGAGATCAAATGCCTCCGTGCGGCCGAGGTCGAGATAAATGTTCAAGCTCTTGTCCTTCTGGTTCGTGCGCGCATACCTGCAGCAAAGAAGGCGGCGCATGCACCCTGGAGTTGTGAGTCCACGCTCACTCACACACACACACACACACACACACACACACACACACACACACACACACACACACACACACACACACAAAAGCACACACGTGCGTCGTGTGCGCATGTTGTACATCAATTCTGCTCCTCTACTTACAGGAATGCGAGGATGTTTCGGAGCTGATTGGATGGGTTCTTCAAGTTCTGAACACACACGCGCACACCAAAGAAAAATGGACATGAACGCACAGAAACATGCACAAGTGCACGGATGAGAAGAGGCAGCGGAGAAAGGTGGGAAAGGCAGAGAAGGAGGAATGCGCGGTGTTGCACGACTGCAACAGCACACGCACACACGCACACACGCACACGCACGCGCGCGAACATCAGCCCTGTACATGGCACGTGAGTATATGCGCTTCTACTGGGTGTACATGCCGGCCACTCCGTGTGCAAGCATCGGACCTTGTTCTCGACAGCCTGCACAATCTCGTCAATTTTGATGACGGCCACCCATTTCGTCAGGATGGCGTTGAACAGCTGTTGGTGCACAGCAGGTGTCGTTGTTGTTGTTGTTGTTGTTGTTGTTGTTGTTGTTGTTGTTGTTGTTGTTGTTGTTGTTGTTGTTGTTGTTGTTGTTGTTGTTGTTGTTGTTGTTGTTGTTGTTGGACATGAGAGGGGAATGTAGCGACGAGGCACGTTGCGAGCGGTTGGCAGCAATTGTGAAACAGAACATATGGGAGATAAAGGCGCATCCACACGTGGTTTTGCACATGCAACATACGAGCAAAGGCATGAGCGGCAAGACACGGTACCGTGAGATCTGTGTCGAGGTATGTCAGCAATACACCCGTGTATGTTGATTCCTTCAATCTGCACGGGAAAACGGCGCAGAAACGGCAGGGTGAGCAGCGCGCTGGAACCAACACGCCACACAACACGCCATGCAACGTGCCGCACAACATCACACAAGACGGTGAAAACAATGATCTGCATAGTTCTGGGCCGGCAGAGGCCGAAGACGCGCTGCCGCACCGTGGCTCGTCGCGTGGAATGTACTTGGCAAGGTTGTTGAGGGCCCCAAACTTGCGGAATATCGCAATCCACTTCTCCCACAGCAGCACATCCGTGTTGAATGTCGGCTGTGTCAACCTGCACACCCCCGAGCGTGTTGATACCGGTGACGGGCGCCGGTGCGCAACACATCAGTTGAGCAGTGAATAGAGCATCAAGCAGCGGCAACTCGCATGAACACACACGCACAACCACCACGCACGCGCGCACGCGGCTAGTGTAGTGTACGTGTGCACGCTGAACCCTTACGCTGCGGCGTGGTCGAACATGCCCTTCTCCAGCAGCGACTGCAGCCACGCCTCCCGCACTTTCTGTACTCAAAACCAAGGCCGTATGTGTACGCACGCACGGGAGGATAAGAAGGATGGAAACGCAAGGAGAGGGGCATTGATGTGGAAGAAGCAACGACGCACACAACCATCCAGCACGCCGCAAACAAGCACCACACTCGACCGCATGTACACAAGTGCGCAAGCACGCTCTCACACTCTCACACTCTCACACTCTCACACTCTCACGCACTCAGGAGCAGGCCCACTCAAACGCACATACACCCACGTACACCCACATACACCCACATACACCCACATACACGCACACACAGAAGCACGAACCGTGGGCGTGTATGCGGTGAGGAGCGCGTGGTTCTCGTCGGCGACGTTGACGGCATCTTCGTGTCGATCGTGTTTGATCAACCACTCAATGCGCTCGTCCATCGACAGCGGCTGAGGACAGCACGCAGTGCGTAAACATATGTATGAGCCTTTTTTCGTACGAGCATATTTGTGTGTGTGGGTGTGTTTGTGCGTGTGTGTGTGTGTTTGTTTGTGTGTGTGTTTGTTTGTGTTTGTGTGTGTGTGTGTGTGTGTGTGTGTGCAGAGGCACAACTAATACTGCGATGGCATTTGATCTGACCTTGCCGACGATAATGTTGCGCGGCGACACAATAAAGTACACATTCTCGTCCGGGATGCTCTCGAAGAAGTAGTCGTTCGCCTTCCCAAACGTCAATGCAAACGTACACAACAAACACGAATTGTTGTGTTGACAAATGGCGTCACCACACTCGAAACAGAGACAGCTGACACCCAATCATGTGGCAGCCACAGCGCCTAACCTCAATCGTACGCAACGCACAACCACGATCAACCACGTACACACACACGCACACCAAAACCGCACAGCGGCATGAATCACTGGCCGTACAGGCAGTACTGTAACAAGAGAGGCTCACCCTGAACTTGTCGTAATCCTCGACAGCAAGATCGCTGCTGCTCACTTCAAGCGCTGCACATACGAACACGGGACAAACGCACGTACACAGGGGCACAAGCGTGAGTGGACGTGAGCAACAGGCACGACATGTTGTATGCATGTGTGTGTTTTGTGTGTGTGTGTGTGTGTGTGTGTGTGTGTGTGTGTGTGTGTGTGTGTGTGTGTGTGTGTGTGTGTGGAGTCGGATGCTCGTTCGCATGTGCAACTGCGGCAGTTGTAGACGTGCATGTGCTTGCAGAGACATTCATTACCGGCCATCGTGAGGATCTTCAGCTCGGGCACATCTCCACACAGCGCCTGCCATGCAATGCAGCCAGCAGCAGAGCAGCAGGAGGCGTGAATAGGTGTGGGGCAGTCTCACCAACAGCCATGATGGCCAGCGCACATCAAACAACGGCATCAAGTGTCGCAACTTCTTCCTCCGTCTGCGCTCGCATGTTCGCATGTTCGCGGGTTCGCGTGTTCGCGTGTTCGCGGGTTCGTGTTACCTTCTGTCCAGACTCAAGCTCAACCTCAGAGTCAAGATACGCCAGTAGCGCCTGGCATGTGCATCGAGTGGATGTGGAGCAGGGAAGGGAGGCATGATCGAGGGAGCGATTGGTTGATATGAGTGGGAAAATGTGTGGAAAGTGAAACATGAGTGCTGGATCGCCTGTGAGGATACAAATGACAGAGACCAGCAGTCAGCGCGTGGTGTGTTTGTGTCTGTAGCTGAGGCATGAGCGTGAGCGCAAAGCAGCGGCGCGGCCGCACCATTTCCTCAGCACTGAAGGGCGCAATTCCGCTGATCCAAAACGACGTCTCAATCCGCACCAGCAGCTGCATGAACCTGTCCACACACACACACACACACACACACACAAACAAACAAACAAACAAACAAACACACACACAAACACAAACAAACACACACACACACACACAAACAAACACACACACACAATACACACACCATATGCGTAAACGTGTGCCAATTGCACCAAGCAAGAGAAAGAGGAAGCAGAGTGAGCTGCCAGTCGAGGACAACAATCAAGCGAGAACCACGTCGTCGTAGAGACATGAACACAAGCACACGCTGGTGCATGGAAGCGCACTAGCACACGCTGGTGCCCTACCCTCACGCATGTACATACACATTTGGTTCGCCAGGCCCGGCTGGCTCGGCCCGCTGGCGAATTTCTCCAACCTGAAACACGGGCACACGCACACACGTGCAAGGAGGACTCGTGAGAGACATGCACACATGCACACATACATACACACACCACGCATTGAGCGCAGCGAAGCACATTCACAGACACACACACACACACACAGACACAGGTGGTGCAAGTGCTCTGCGTGGTTGTTTCGTGTAAACATTCAATCAAGCGAGCAAGCGAACAAAGCACGGTGCTGACTGACGGCAATGTGGTCCGCCCAGCCCATGAGAAGCGTCTTGTCATCCTTCCACGACAGCCGGCACTGATACTCTTCAGCAGATGGGCTGACCATGATTTGTGGTCGTGGTCGTGGTGGTTGTGGTGGTTGTGGTTGTGGTGGTCGTGGTGTCATGGTGAGCACAACGCAGAGTATCGCATCACGTACAATGTAATGGAGGGCCAAATGTGTGGGCGGTAAAGCCAGCTTGGTTGCCTGCATGTCATCACCACCCCCTATGGCCGTGACTGCGTCAGTATTCACCTGTTCTGTGGGCGGTCAACGGACGCAATGCGCTGATTCAGCGTGGTGTCATAGAGCTTCACGCCAATGTCGTTTGCCCAGGCGACATAAGGCCCGCGCCAGCGAACAATCGACACGCACCCTTCTCCGCTGTGCAGCTGTCGAGAGCGGGTAAAGGAGGGGCAAGGAGGGTTGTTGTGAGTGCGTGTGTTTGTATGTGTGTGTGTGTGTGTTTGTGTGTGTGTGTGTGTGTGTATGAATGAAGACATTAAGAGAACGGTGTCGCACAAAACCAGCAGTCAAGCGCGATCAGACATTCATCGGGCACACACACACACACGCACACACACACACACACCACATACACCTGACACAACGCTTCGATCTGCTTACCACAGTGGCGTTTGTGCGAGAAAAGAATGCAAATGACTTGTCGACATGCAACAGCAGCTGTCCGGCCTTGCCACCTGATTGCGTGGACATGGGACGGAACGCAACATGCATTCACACCAATTGTTGTTGGGAGGGGCAGGGGCAGAGATGAGTGACAATGACAACAACCAATGGCAAGAGCAGCAGGCAAGCTCGAGAACAGCACGCACAAGGAAGGTGCTGCGTGTACAGCGCAACCAACGCACGCACACGCACACGCACACGTACACGCACACATACACATGCACATACACACACACGCTCGCACGCTCGCACGCATGCGCACATACAATCCCACCAACGACTACAGCCACAACAAGAGTGTGCACACACCAGTGATGAACATGTTTTTCTTCTTCTTTGGGTACTCTGGATCAATTGCCACAGACTGTAGCAATGCCAAAGCAAAGAGTGAATGGTGAAGGGGGGCGGCAGACAGCGAACAAGACGTATGCATGGCTGCAACCGGAATGGCACGCACAAGTATGCAAGCGCTCCTGTGCATGCACATGTGTGCACAATACCATGCACACACACATTCACATACTCGCACAACCCCGCACGTTTATGAGCACATGCGTGCACAAGGCCACACGTGCACACAAGAGCGTACGCGAATGGGGCGGTCGAAGGAAAAGGAGAGAACGGCTTTGGCGTCGTACAAGTTGCGGATGATGACCTGCAGTCGGAAATGCACCCGTGCAGCACGCAAAGACGCGGCAGCGTAAGTGAAGGTGCTGGACACGGAGCAGCACTGACAGCTCATTCAAACGCACACATGAAAATGCGTGCATGTGAAGACGCCAACCCCCTTTCCCCATGCACACACAACACAACACAACACACACACACACACACACTTGCACACATACATACACACATACACACATACATGCACACACATACCCACACTCACACACACATACCCACCTAACCCCCCCCCCCCCCACACACACACACACCTTGCCGTCGTCAGCACCGGTTGCAACAAAGTCGCCGTATCGGTCGATGGAGATGTCGGTCACGCGTTCCGAGTGCTGATGAAGAAAGGGGTGGATTGTGATGGGAAGTCGAGGAGCAGGTGCGGGCATCGAGTGAGCGAGGGACGCAGGGGGCGGGGACGATGGACATGGTCAATACAACACAGGTGGTGACATGCCAGTCAATGCGCAGCACAATAACGCGACGACACCCACGCATCATGGGCCTACATGCACTTGGCAAAGAGTTGGTGGCTCACCTGAGTGTACCGTTGCACTTCTGTCCCGTTCATTGCGTCCAGGATGTGAATAGAGCCGAGGTCTGTCCCCAGAATAGCAAACTGCCACGCAAGTGGATGGGCGCAGGAGGCGGTCGCCACGCGGGTCAGTTGCGGCCACAAGTCGACATCCATGTCTTTCCCCCTCACGACGTCGCGCGCGCACTCGCACACACTCGCACACAGCACACACACAGCACACATACTAGCACACACTAGCACACTAGCACACACTAGCACACACACAAACACAAACAAACACACTCCCACTCACACTCACAATCTCACGCAAACAAACACAACCAAACACACACACACACTCCTTCGCACGACAATAGCTGTACCTTTGAGGACACGGCAAAGCATGTCGCCACGCGATCATTGAGGATGGTTGGCACATCAGCACCAAGCTTGTAGAAAGTGAGCCTGGGAAGCTCCTGTTGAAAAATACAAGGCACACACACGCGCGCGCGTGCAAAAAAGCAGAGGGTGAGATCACCACTGCACCAGTACGCGTGTGCTCATGCCACAACAGAAACATCATTCGGAACAACAAAAGCAACGGAGAACACACAACATACACACACACACACAGCCGTAACTCCTCCCCTGCCCGTTCAAGCAAGGCTAGTTCACCTGAAGCACGAATTACTGACCTCTTCCTCCTCTTCCTCTTCCTCATCATCGTCATCATCGTCATCATCATCATCATCATCTTCGTCGTCGTCGTCTTCGTCGTCATCGCTGTCATCCTATCGAGGAGACGCCATTTACAAGTGAGACAAACAACGACAACAACAACAACACGCGCACGCACGCAAAGCACTTCGAGTGAATACATGAAACTAGAGCAGAATCTCTCTTGCTGAACACAGCGCCATTCGGCCACGTCCACAAACAAAACCAGCAAACGCACACACACACATACACATACACACATACACACATACACATACACGGGCATGCGGGCAGATGCACAAACACACAACACCTGCACAATGCACGCACACACTCTCTTCACACTCGACCCTCACCTCTTCGCCTTCGTCGTCTTCCTCTGTCTCTTCTTCTTCGCCGTCATCTGAGTCGTCAGAGTCTCCAGAGCTGCCTTCGCCGGAGTCTTCGTCGCTGTCCCCATCACCGCTATCCAGAGCTCGAAGAGGGGTTGCATCCGCGCCATCTTCCTCGTCAACCATCATCTCACGTCGCTCTGTCATCGTCACAACTTCTCCTGCTTCCACCTCCAACAACATCTTTCTTCTTCTTCTTCTTCTTTTGTGCTGGAAGAAGGTAAAATTGACTTGGCAGAAAAGGCAAAACCGACTTTGGCAGGACTGTGCTGCAAGACAACTTGTGAAAAACACCACTAATTTTCTCTCACATCTCAGCCAACCAGTCGCAGAGGACAAGTAAGCAAGCCAACCAAGATGGGTCGCGTGCGCACGAAGACGGTGAAGAAGGCCGCCAAGGTCATGATTGAGAAGTACTACACTCGCCTCACCAACGACTTTGAGACCAACAAGCGCGTACGTCAAAAGCCTTTGCTATTGTGCGTGCGTGTATGTATGTGTTTGTTGAAGAGAGTGGGTGGGGGATTGCTGTTTGGTTTGATGGAAGTGTGCGTCGTGTGCGTCGTGTGCGTGTGCATGTGCGGGAGAAAGCAAGTGTGCGTGCACTGCAGTGAATCGTGTGCATTTGGTCCACTACTTGCTTCACGTACTCACTGCAAACACAACAACAACAACAACAACAACAACAACAAC